GCCTGTGGAGTAAAACTCTCCCCTCGCGCCTGGGGGAGCTGCCTCACCCTCGGGGCATCTCGCCCAGCAGGGCAGTCGGTGGTGGAGCAGATGCTGCTGTGACTCACAGGGGTGCGTGGGGATCTCCCAGGCACATCTTCTGCCCCGTTGTCATGGATGTTGTGTTGCTCAGCAGTTTGGGGATGACAACCTGAAAATTCATGGGTCTCCCAAGTCGTTTGTAAAACATTACGCTCAGTCATAGCTAGGAGACGTCTGTTACGGCCTTAGCGAGGCCTCACGGGGGGGCTGTGGGGTCAGCAGTCAGGCGGAAAGGGAGGAGAGGCTGTCACCTTCGTGAAAGCCCAATGGGGAAGCAGAGCTGAGGGAGTGGGGTGGGGAAAGGAGAGGGGGGAGGAGAGAGATGGGGAGGAAGAGACAAACTGACCTGGCATCACGGGCCCTCGGATCTGGAACCAGACGCATCTCTTGGGATTCTCAGCTTTGGAAGTCAATGAATTCTCCTTTCAAATTCAGTTCGTTTGGGGTGGAAGAACACCCAGGGAATCGGGGCTCTGCCTCTGAAACGAGGGCGGAACTCACGGAACGGGAGCAGAGCTGCGTGAGCAAGAATCCCTAGGAAGGAGGAGAATGACGCAGAGGTGGAAACGCCAGTCTGCTGAAGGCATACAGTCAGACAAAACAACACAACACAACGTACCACGTGGTCACTTGGTGAAGTTAAGCTGCTATAGGGACTCTGAACTCGTATCCATAAGTTATAAATTGGTTTTAAAGAAGGACAGCCTGGTCATGCCAGCAGCTTAATGCCATCAGTGGCTTGGTACTTAAGAGGCTTTTTTATTCACTTCAGGAATTTTTACATATTTGCTTTTCCATATGCTGTTCACAGTGATGTGATGATATAGGGAACTAGGACATTTTTTCAGCCTTTTGGAGGCAAATTGTTGCATAAATTTGGGTTAGAAATACTTTCAGCTGTAAGAAATTACCCAACAACAACATAGACACTCTCTCTCTCTCTCTCTCTCTCTCTCTCTCTCTCTCTCTCTCTCTCTCACACACACACACACACAACACACAAAACACCTGGAGGTGGATAGTTCTAGGAGTTATCCTGTGTTCAAATGTCATAATTAAGGAATCAGACTCTCTTCCTCCTGCTCCCACACCCTCATAGTTTCCCGTGATGGTGGTGAGGTTGCAGTGGGAGTGCCAAGCATCCCACTCTCTCACAGCGGCCAAGGCAAACCCCCTTCTCCAAAGCCTCCACTCGCTGGGGCCTCGGCTTAGCTCTCCTTCCAGAACTGGGCCCCAGAGGCGCGATGATGGCAGGGGGGTGGGGGCGGGGAAAGTGGGCATCTGGCAAGTAGAAAGTATTCCCGAGGGGGACTTACGGCAATCATGACTTTCCTCATGAGCAAGTAGGTCTTTCCTTTCCTGGAATTAAAGTACCTCCAGTGACCACCTGCAAAACTCTGGGTGTGTTAGCAAGGGAGAAGGGGCGTGGGCAGGAAAGGGCAGGTGGGTGAGACAGGGCCCCCCGCCGGCACCCTGGGCCACGTTTAGGTCTGTGAGGCTCCACTCTCACTCTGAGAGCCGGGCTGTTTGACCAGGTGGTTTCCAGGGAACCCCAACACCGCACATACTGCTGACCTCGGGAGGCCTAAACTGATCTGGCTCTGCCACCCCTTCTTGTGCATTTTACAAGCTGACCTCTCACAGCTCCCACCTCTCAAGTGAGAAGGCTTGGCTGGTTGAACAGTTGGTTTCCCTTCCGTTGCTCGAGTTCAAATTGCCTTTGACCTCTGCAACCTTCTATTGCCTGTTTGTGGGTCAGTCTCGGCAGGTGACCTTCAGCAGCTCTGGCCCTGCCTTCTAGCCACACAGAGAGCCAGTCATGCCAGAAGCACAGGGCTCACAGCAAACAGCCTGCTTCTCCAGACCAGCCTTTCGGACGCCAGGCCCAGTGTGCTCAGGCCCGTGGTGCGGCAGGCGAGGGGGAAAATGTCACCAAGTCCCACAGCAGAGGTGGGGGACACCAGGCCCCAGGGCCTGCGTAACGCACGCAAAATCATCTGGTCAGGCTCTGCCAAGACATTGGGAGTGAGTTAATTAAATGTCCAAATAGGCAGGCTAATTTGTAAGCTGATACTCTTGTATGGCCCATGAATGATGTTCTAGATATTCAAATGGCCCTTGACAGGAAAAAGGTTCCCCACTCCTGTCCTAGGGGGAGCCTTGGGGGTTGCACAGGCCTTGGTGTAGCTAGACATTCATGAAGGAAGGGGGATCAACATGATTAAACATCAACTGAGGACCTGAATCAGACACAGAGCCAGCTTCACTAGGAAATGGCAGCCTTCACCGGCCTTTGCGGAGGGAAGATAAGAAACAGCAGAAGTTCCTCTGTTGAGCTCTTGCCCAGTAGAAGCCACGCGGGCACAGGGGGAGGCCCCTCCACTCTGAGGCACAGAGCAGTAGGAGAAAAGACGGTGAAAAGATGAAGGCCTGTCGGTTTAGCCTGGGGAGAGGGTTGGATTGGGTAAGGGACACAGAACCCCGGAAGACCTAGAACATGGATTGGTTAGAGCAGTGGTTGGCAAACTCATTCGTCAGCAGAGCCAAACATCAACAGGACGACGATTGAAATTTCTTTGGAGAGGCACATTTTTTAAAACTTCTTCTAACGCCACTTCTTCAAAATGGACTTGCCCAGGCCGTGGAATTTTGTGGAAGAGCCACACTCAAGGGGCCAAAGAGCCGCGTGTGGCGCACGAGCCACTGTTTGCCGACCACTGGGTTAGGGGAAAGAGTCTGGGAGAGACTGGGAAGGTGATGAGTTAGTTTGAAAAAGTGCCTAGTTGTGCCCAAGCTGGAGCTAGTAAAATCAGCCTAACAATGGGAAGGGCCCCTTTTTCTCCGTCGGTAACAGTCACACCCGCTTCATTCACACGTTCTCTCTCCACAGCAACCACAGGGCCAGCAGCCACACAGACAGCAAGTGCGGGCCCAGAGCACCCGCTGAGGGGCGGCCGGGAACGGACTCAGCAGCAGGAGGGGAGAGGGGCTGCGTGGCCTGAAGCGACGGCACAGAATCCCCGGGAGCCGGCCGTTTCTGGGCCTGGCGAGAGAGAACAAGGCTGGACTTCTCTCGCAGCGGGACAAAGCTGAGCCCAGGACCGTCCTTCAATCTTGCTTCAACCATAAACCTAATGTCAAACCCTACCCACCCCCACCTGGGTCCCGGAATGCTTTCCTTGTGACTCTGTGAGAGGGTCTCATTCCACCGGCAACATTGGGAGCACCGGGTTCTGCCGAGTCTCACGCTCTGCCGGCCCTCTCTCCGGCCTCGGGGTGGAGAGGGCTGAGCCTGGGCCCGGCCCCTGCCCAGGACTCCTCGGAAGGCGGTCTGGGAGCTTCAGGAGGACGTGGCTGGCAGGTGATGCCAGGCCCTGAGGTTAAGCCCAGCCCCAGGCCCCCACTACAAAGTCTATCTTCTCTAACTTCCCAGGCACGGCCCTCAGCATCAGGAACATGGCTGAGAAGGGAGCAGAGCGGTGACGGACCAGAGATGGAACGAGGAGTAAGCTCGAGGCTCCAGGGGAGGCAGATGCCGGCCCTGTGGTTAGTGAGAAGCAAGGTCAGAGGCAGACATTGGCCCTGTCTTCCTCCTCAGCTGCAGGCTGTCAGCTGCTCCGACAGGTGGAGGATGGGTGGTGGGGATGGGCTGGGGAAAGCCGCTTGTGGAGGGGGGGAGGGGGGAGGGCACAAGGGCGTGAACCTGAGTGGCAGTGCAGACAGGACCGTCCAGGAAGTGGGGTGCCTCCTGCAGAGCTGCGGACAAGGCTGAGTGAGGTGTGGTGGGAGGTGCAGCCCAGAGCCTAGAACTTTTTATTTCTTTCAACCCCAGGCCTTGAGATTCCGGAAATCCGGTCAGTTGGGGCTTGGTAGAAACTACGGATAATGTTCACAGAGGGGCAGACAGGAGGGGGAAGGAGAAAAAAGGCCCACACACAATTTTACTTTTTTTTATATAGAATTTGTACAATATATTTATCTTCATTTGCATATTTTACCCACAACTTAACATCCTTTTTACAGGCTGAACTCGGCTGATATAATCAACATTCTTTCTTTCAACCAAATAGGAAAAAATTCAAAATCGTAAACCCGTAAGAAAACAAATTAAAAACGATGATGAAAATAAGTCACTCCTCATTAGGAACAGTATCTTTTGTTCGTTATACATGATTTGGAGCAGAAATTTTCTTGTAGATTAGGCACATGTTTCCACAACACCTTCCTTCCTGCCAGTCAACTCATTCCAGGCAGGCAGAGGGGTGTCGTCCTCAGGGGAACTGATCTCTCAGATGCTGCTGGCACCGCCTGGGGACCAGGAGCGGAGGGACGTGGGCTCGGCAGCGCCACCCATTGGCTGGAAGCGGAGGCCGGGCGGGATGCGGGGGTGCTGGGCCGGGCAGGCCCTGCCAGGAGAGAGCAGCAGTTGTGTCTGAATGGAAAACTTAGGCTTGTTCTATGCAAATTAGAGAGAGATCAGAATAGCAAAGGTGGTGTATAGAGAGAAGCTATGAGGAGTCCAGTGTTTATTTACAATTTATCTTCCTGACGGGAGCAAGGGGGTAAAGCTGGTGGCAACTGCCGTGAGGGTGTGACACCTGCCCGTCCGTCTCCACTTCACCACGAGTCGGTGGGAGGTGTGGAGGGTGTGGGTGGTGTGGCGAGGTTAGGCGGTGAGTTGCACCATCTGCTTGTCTGTCTTCCAGGCAGGCAGCCCGTCAGTGAGTCTGAGCCCACGGTGGGACCTCTTTGTCCCTGTGACTTCCCTCCTCACTGTGACTCCTACTTGGGTCTGGGTGTATGGAGCGAGGGGCCTCCTCTGGGAAAGCAGGCAGAGCGAACGAGAAGAAAGGGGTTTCCACCAAGCTGGCAGCGCCTGTCTCACCACTTCCCCCACCACGGGAGCCCAGGCCAGGGCCATGAGCCTCAGGTCACCAAGTTCGGGACCTGCCCCATCTGTTTGTGTCTCCTTTGAACTCTCCCTTCCAGGCAGCTGGGCCTGGCTGCAGAAGGTCACTACGCCTGGGCCCCCAGAGCCGGAAGGCAGCAGGGCCCTTGCAGCGAGGCCCTCCCGGGACCCGCGGCCGTGGCCTCTCCGGTCCGGACACCTGTGGAGCCTCAGAGGGGCTGTGGAGGCCACGGCCGCGCTGACCTGCCCACTGCGGCCGGGCTACAAGCAGCCTGCCTGGGGGCTGGTCCCACATGTGGGACGTGCTCAGGCCTGGCACCAGCCCTTAAATGGCAGCCGCCTCAGGCATTCCTTATGCCCACAAGTCCCACTGAGGCTTACATACGTTCCGAATGCCAATCTGGCTTCACACTCCAGAGCGTGGCTTTGGAAAGAGTAAAATAATCAGCACTTCAGGGCAAGATTACAGCCATAAAAAGAAAAAATGGAAAAGCATTCACTGGAACGAATGTAGTTATTGCTGGACAAGTGACAGCCAAGTGACCGCGCGGAACTCCGAGGGGGCGTGAGGAGTTACTGTGACCGTGGGGCAGAGAGAAATCATTGGTCTGCATGTTTGTGTGACTTCCAAAGTAAGATCTCCCCTGATGGCATTTCAGGTCTTTTCAGGCCCAGGAACTAAAGAAATTCCTTAGTTCTGCTGCTTTCACACAAACCAGTTTGCCTGAGTGACTGGGCCACTGGCCATTCTCCTGGTGTCCTCTCAGGGAGGCAGTGCAGTTCTGTTCTAAAAACCGAAAATATGTTAAAACGACAACTGAAAAGGCCTGGATGTGCTGGGAGCACGAGCAGACACCCTCGGGCGGCCTGCTGATCCCAGGGCACGTGTCCTCACGTGTTCCCACCGAGGATTCCTCTGGGGCGGCTGTGGCTAGGGAGCGGGGCGGCACCTGGCCCCGCACTGAATGCTGGGAGCCGGTGGAGGCAGGCGGCTCTCGCTGGTTTCAGGTGGGACTGCCCAGTCTCAGGAAGCTAAAGCAAGAGGCGCCCGTAGGCCGGCCGCTGCGGTGCTGCCGAGAAAGGCGGCTCTGCAGACTGGTCTGCCCCCGGGGGGCGTGTGCAGGCAGCTCCAGCTCGGCCGAGACAGACGCGGGAGAAAGCGTCTCTGGACGCCCTCTCTGGGGATGCTGCGCTGCTCTGCTCATCCTCACACGCTACGGGACGTGTCGGTGTCCAGCCTGCAGGGCATTCTGATCGGAGTGGGAGTGAGAGCTCGGGGAAGCCAGGTGCTGGCGCCCCAGGGATGTTCCTGAATGCGTTTGGATTTCTGCTGTAAAACCCCTGGGTCAGATTCGCTGGTTCCATGCAGGCCTCCCAGGGGCTAGCAGTCGGCGTTCCAGAGGCAGGTCGCCTTGTTTGGGTAGTTGATGGCAAGGCTGATAGCAGCGATGTTCTGCAGAGCCTGTGGAGAGAGTCAGTGCCAGTGTCAAGAACCTCCCCTGCTCGGTTCGCTGGGTGCTGGCGAACAAGACCCTCAGCTGAGCTTTTGAGGGGCGGGGTGAGGAAGGCATGAGCCAGATATGGTTCTCCTCAGCGGAAGGACTGCAGTCTGGAGCAACAGACAAAAGCTATTGAGACATGAGAACTCCAAACGTAAGGTAGAAATCATCACTGTCCTGAGGGGCACGGGGAACTCGGGGCGGGAGTGAGGGCAGGCCTCGGGGATACAGAGGACACTGTCTGCAGGGCCCTGGACAAGTAAGAGGGAAGGGAACAGCACCAAAGTGCAAAAGGGAAGCAGCAGTGCTGGGGACCCAGGAAGCAGTGTAGGGGAGGAGCTTAGGGGAGGGCTGGAAGGTGGATGCTGTAGAGCCAGGTCAGGCTGGTCTTCAAGCTCAGGGAGCAGGAGTGGAGGACTGACCAGGAGAGGAAGAGGCGGCAGGCAGGGGGAGGAGGCAGCATTGGTCCAGCCAAGTGGATGGGCTATGGGAAGGTGAGAAATAGGGTGAGGAGATGGGACATGGGCACAGGCAAGAGGGAGGAGCCCACAGAGATATGCAAAGTCAAAACTTAATTTTGTGTCATGCAGCCGGAGGTGGAGGTGGCAGTGCAGTGGGCGTGGTAGGAGACCTCACTCTGCCTGCAGGTCTCAGGAGAATTCACACAAACTCTTCCACAGTTGATGGGGGACCCCTGCTTCTAAGCAGGCATCTGGCCCTTCCTGCAGGAGGAAGGTTCCCTGGAAAACATGGCGGAGCAGCGGGAAGCTCTGGCTGGGGGGCCCAGCTACGGCCCACTCCAGGGGGAGCCTGGGCATCTCCCTTCCTCTGAGCTTCAGGCCCCATCTGTCCCCTGCGGGGCTGGGCACACGCTCTGTGAGGCTCCAGGAGTCTGAGCCTGAGGCTCTCAGAAGGGGATGTAGGGCCTGCGGGGGCCTGAGACCCTGTCCGGGCTCCGCACAGGAAACACTGTTTCCGCAGGGACACTAAGACATGGTTTGGCCTTTTTCACTTTCGTACTCTGACAAGTACACTGTGGAGTTTTCCAGAGGCTAATGTGTGGTGATATAACAGGTGGACACAGAAGCAGACTGGGACTCCAGCTGCCTTCCATTAAGGCAGATGTTAAAGAGCTTTTCAGACATGGAACACAAGGCCTCCCTCCGATTTCCACCAAGCATGCTACTCATGTGAACATGGAATGGTTTATTAGTTTTTAAATTAATTGATGATAAATTAAATTTTTTGTCTCAATTTCTAAATGTCAAATCTAATTTAACGTCCAATGGTATATTTCAATATATATAATGCACATAAACAAGAGCTGTTTCAGATCCTCCATAATTTAAAAGTGAAAAGGGGCCCTGAGACCAAACAGCTGTCAGAAGAGAGCTCTACGAGGGGAGAAAGTTACATCCCCAAAATATCTGCAATCCGGCTCTATGGAAACTTCAGGGGCCGGCCAAACTGTAAATTTAAGGCATTGGCTGTTTTGGTTTAAAAGACACAAATTCTTGCTAGTGTCTTCTGACCCCACAGTTTAACGTGGATGACAATGATAAATGGGGCTGGACTGCTCTCTCAGACACCGAAGGAAGTGACTGAGTGGGAACAGAGCTCCGGGTACACCCTGGGTGGACTCTGTACTCGGGCCACAAGCACAGGCTCTGTCCTGGCCCCGGGGGGGGGGGGGGGGGCAGCTGCCGCGAGCAGGCAGCACGAGGGCCAGCGCGAGGCGGGGGTACCTGAGCTGCGCAGCGCAGAAGGTGGTCGTCGGTGGTCAGGGCCAGCAGGTAATCCTGCAGCACGCCGAGCTCCTGTGGGAGAGCAGGGTGCAGTGTTAGCGGGCACCCACCCTGGGGGCACCCCACCCCGGGGGCACCCACCCCGACCGCAGAAGCCTCGAGTGAGTAATCAGCGCCTGCGCTGCTGGCACCTCACCAAGAGCCATGGAAGGAGCTGGACCGGGAGGAGCCAGGTGGCTTGTTCCAGGGGCTCTGCCCAGGGTGATGGGTGGGGCAAGGCCCTCCCGCCCCAAGTCCGTGTCCTCATGTATAAAATGAGGGGGATAAAGCTCAAGAACTCTGAAAGGCCCTTTCATCTCTCCCATTAATAAGCCTATTGTGCTGAGTAGAGGGAAAGAAAAAAAGAGGAAGGAGAACGAACCCATCCGTTTTATTTTTCCAAAACTCAAATGTTGTCAAGGGCTGATCCAAGCCAGTTTCCCTTGGCCTGCGGCCTAGTAAAATAAGCAGTCTCGGTGCTGCCTGGACTGAGGTGGTGAGGGCCTCCGGCTTACGCCACTTGCACCTCCGTGTGCAGGTCAGCTGAGACCGGGGCTTGGGATGGGGCTGTTTCTGAGCCCTACCCTCCTGCCCCGGGCAGCAGAGGGAGAAAAGCAGCTGGCAGCGCTGTGCCAGGGGAAGGGGCAGGGCAGGGCGGGCCCTCACCTGGGCACGGTTCTCGGTGACGAAGAAGAGCTCAGTGAGGGCGCGGTGCAGGGGGAGGAGGATGCCCGGCTGTGTCACGTCCTCGAACAGGCTGTACTCCGTGTGGGTGAAGAGCTGCCACAGGGGCTTTAGCAGCGAGAGGTCACAGAGGTCGCTGTGGGGGGGGGGGGGGTTTACTGAGCACCACGTCAGACAGACGGCAGGTGACAGGAGCTGCAGCGCTGACTCTCACTTTCCCCACGTCTAGTAAAATCATTACAGGATAGTCCCACTCCCCTCCCCACTAAAAAAGAGCCAAAAATATCCACTAGCAAACAAGGAAAGGGGCGGGACCTAAACTTCAAAACAAGACACCACAGAAACAGGAGATCCTGAAGCACATTCTTGTAAATCAACGGCACACCTTTAAAAATGGCTGTTACAGAGAACTTCCAATGACTGGAAAAAAAATCTCAAGTGAAATGTTAGGTGGAGCCCCTGGCCGGTGTGGCTCTGGGTTGGAATGTCATCCTAATACACCAAAGTTGTGGGTTCGATTTCTGGACAGGGCACATACAAGAACCAATCAATAAACGCATCAATTAGTGGAACAATAAATTGATGTTTCTCTCCCTCTCTTTCCCTCTAAAATAAAAACAAAAATAAATAAAATCTTCCCTTTGAGATGAAGAATAAGACAATTATATCTTCAATCCCCACTTGTATTCAACATTCTAATGAAAGTCCTGGCTGGTACAAAAAGGCAGAGTTTCTACAGACTGAGAGGAAGAAATAAAACTCATTATTTATAAATAACATGGCCGTGGGCTAAATAACCTATATATACACCCATGGAATTAACAAACAGAACAAGGTCACTACACAAAGGCAATACATGAAAATTAATTATATAGCAGCAAAAATACTTAAAAATTTTAAAATAACAATTATAATACCATCAAAAACATTAAATACCTAGGAGTAAATCTAATAATAAAATGTGTACACGTCCTCTACATAGGAAACGATAAAACATTACTAAGATCTAAATAATAGAGGATTAGAGAATTCAATGGTATGAAAATCTTATTTCTCTCAAACTGATCTAGATTATCAGTCAAAATTCCAACAGATGAGAAGGGTATGTGTGCATGCATGTGAGCTGTCTATAAAAATAACATAACCAGGCCCTAGTTGGTAGAGCATCAGCCTGTGGACTGAAGGGTCCCGGATTCGATTCTGAACAGGGTACGTGCCCAGGTTGCGGGCTTGATCCCCGGTAGGGAGTGTGTAGGAGTCAGCCAATCAATGGTTCTCTCTCATCGGTGATGTTTCTATTTCTCCCTTTCCCTTCCTCTCTGAAATCAATAAAAATATATTTAAAAATAAGTAAATAAAATAAAATAATCAGGATCAGGACAAGGATGCCCGTCTCACCAGTTCTATTCAACGCAACACTGGAAGTCATAGTCTAAGGCAGTGGTTGGCAAACCGCGGTTCGCAAGCCACGT